CCCCCCCCCCCCCCCCCCCCCCCCCCCCCCCCCCCCCCCCCACCCACCCAAGCGATCAAGTGTACTATCTGATCCATGGTCCAAAAAAAATGCGTGAGGGGGACACAGAGAGAGAGAGAGAGAGAGAGAGAGAGAGAGAGACTCGACCATCCCCCCACGATCAGGTGTGGTATCTGTTCTGGTCAGTTTCGTATCTGATCCGTGGTCGATCAAGACCTTTAAAAAAGAAAAACAGGAAAAAAGATGGAAATCCCGTTCGCGCACTGATCAGTTCAATGGAGAAAAAAAAAAAACAAGGGAAGCATGGGCGATTTCGAAAATAAAAGGTGCAGAGAGAGAGAGAGAGAGAGAGAGGGGACAGGAAGGCAGGAGAGGAAGGGAGTAGACACGGGCTTGAGCAGGATGGTCCATCGTGACCAATTAAAAAGAACAAAGAAAAAAGTGGAAAATCTGCAAGCTTGTGCGTGAACCAGAGAGAGAGAGAGTGAGTCCATCACCATCTTCGTGTGTGTGTGGGTGTGGGTGTGTGCGTGTGTGTGTGTGTGTGTGTGTGTGTGTGTGTGAGAGAGAGAGAGAGAGAGAGAGAGAGAGAGAGTATTAACTTCTTGGGAAACATTCCATTAGTATTGCGGGCATAGCCGCAACAGGTCCCCTAGTTTATCTTATTGATGCTGAACAATTTGCTTGCTGACGTTGCCGTGCATTACTGCATTGCCCGCATTTGCTTTTTATAGTCACAAAAACATGCTGGATGTGCACCTCTGTTTTATTGCCGGCTTTTGTTTTTGTTGTCGTTGTGGTTCCTGGTCCTACTCTTTTCCACAGAAGAGATTTGGTGTTCTCCCCATGAAACACCCATCTCGCCACCTTCTCTTGCGCCTGAACTCTTCCGGGTTTCATGCTGTTCTTGTTATACTGTAACAAGTGGTTGCCTGCTGAACAAACACTTCAGGAAGTCAGAAGGATCATCCTGATTATTGGAGAACGGGTGCAGGAACTGTGTCGTTCCTCTCCCTTTTCTCCCCTATGGTGATATATGGAGAAGAGCAGCACCTTGGCACATCCAGATGGGACTGGGGGTGTGTAGATAATTCCCGCTGCCTTTTTCGCTGATGGAAAATTTGTTTATGCCACTGTATGGAAGGTGATCTAGGTGGCAAGGGGTTATTTGCAGTGTTTGATGATGGGAATTCATTGGTGGAGAGTGCAGGTGGGGAAGGTGGCTTCTGGGTCTTGTGGCGTGGGGGCAAGATTAGACAGATGCTTAACAGATGTGGCCTGGCAGGCAGCTGAAGATTGGAGCAGAGTTAAAGCAGGGTAGATAGGTGTATTAGCCACTGTGATAGGTGTTGGCCAGTGTAGGAGTGCATCGATGGTGGAGTGAGAAGAGCACACTGTGATGGCATATTGGAGGAGAAGGGGCGTTTAGTTTCGTATGTCTGTTTCATAAAGCACGGGGTTGAAATGCAGACGAGGAGTTTATACTGGTATGCTATAAGTGGGTGATATCCATCATGGGATCAGAGAGAGATGATGGGGTGAGCCCGGATGCTGATCTGGACGTGTAGGCTGAGTCAGGCCTTGCACACTGCTTTTTCTGGATATATTTTTGCAGGAGGGAGGTGGAAACAGGTATAAATCATGGCAGGTGTAGGCAACGAGTTGAATTGGACATGTTCCCTAGCATCCAGAGGAGTGAGGACTGAGGTGTGCCTCATGACAGCCCTGTTGCAACCACATTCGGAGACTGATGCAACTGCAGGGGTGGTCATCATGGTTGAGGCCCCTGAGGGCATGAATTATTTTAGCAATGAGAATGTCACAAAGTGAGGCGTGGGTGGAGGGCGATAAGGAGGAGGTTATGTTGTGAAAGGCAGAGACAGGCAAGGGTAAACAGGCCTCTACGAGAACGGAGACAGACAAAGGCGTGCAGGGAATGGTCATGAAGTGATGTCACGGCCAGAGTTCAAGAATGATATATAGACCTTTCTATGGCTTGTGCTAATGCTGAGAAATGTGTCTATGCTCTGGTATTGTCTTGTGCAGGGGCAATGCGACGACATATTTACCACCCTGACGAAAAAAGTTGGCATGTCTTGCAACGGACAGACATGTACGTTCAAAGTTGGCGCGATTCCTATTGTTGCACAATGTGAAATTGGTGAGTGTGTAAGCTCATCAGACGCACTGGTTTTGCCAAAAGGTGATGACAAGACTATGTCGGTTCTGGGAAGTGTGATGGTGTCACTCGCAATCTTGCTGTCCCTGTTCGCCATATTCCTGTTCTGTGGATGGAGGCTGTGGCAACGAAAGGAAGGAGAAGCAAGATACCTAGCCTGGGCCAAGCCAACAGAAGAGACGCGGCTGAACAACGGCATGCGGTCTGAGCTAGAAGGAGGGCCAGGACAAGTCCTGTCTGTTCACAATCTTGCGGTGAAGGAAGTGGGTGCAGGCACATTCAGTGTTCTGAAGCGATCAGCCAAGGGGTTGTGGAGATTGTGGAAAGCGAAAAAGTTGGGTGCAGAGGAGGTGAGCACAGTGAGCAATGATGGGATAAAGCTATCAATTAAGAAAGATAAGCGCACGTACATATTGTCAGACTTATCCTTCACTGTAAGCCGTGGCTCAGTTCTAGCCATCATGGGTCCGACAGGCAGTGGGAAGACCACTCTGCTGAATGTCATTGCAGGTGTGGGAGGGGGGCGTGCAGCTGGAACGGAGGTCTATGGGTCAATTGAGGTTGACGGGAAGCGGAGGGGTCCTGGATTTCGGCGCTACGCAGCATTGCTACCACAGGAGGACTTTTTATTCAACACTCTCACTGTAGAGGAGTGCATTTGGTATTCTGCGCAGCTGCGCTTGCCTGCCTTCATGCCTGATGAGGTGAAGGTAGCACGCGTGAATATGGTTATTGAGGATCTTGGACTGACCAAAGTACGAAAACATCGTGTTGGAACATCGTTTACGGAACCAGGTTTGAGTGGAGGTGAAAGACGACGAGTTCGTATTGCAATGGAATTAGTGTGCGACCCAAAGATAATCTTCCTGGACGAACCAACCTCAGGGCTTGACAGTCATACATCACTTCTCTTGGTGAGGAAGCTCAATGAAATTGCACAGAGAGGGGCAATCGTGGTGCTAAATGTACATCAACCGTCTGAGGAAGCGTTCAACGAGTTTGATAAAGTTCTCCTTCTTTCTAAGGCCGGGAGGATTGTATTCTATGGCCCACGTGTTGAGCTAGCACCTTTCTTTAGTGCTATTGGTTACCCTTGCCCAAGTCATCGCAATTTTGCTGACCATATGCTGGAGGTGATTAGCTTGCATGAGGAGTTCAATGACCCAATGTGGCCAGGTCATGAACGAGCCTTGCTTGTGAGGGCAATGCAGCAACGTGGAGATGGTCAGAGGGAGCAAACAACAAGACCGAACACTGATGATGGTTCTGGTACGCATTTGACGGCAGTGTCTGGGTTGCCCAGCCGTCCCATGTCCAATCACATGCACAACCTCGCAGAGCCACCCTACTTCAATCGCTCTCCCTCTCCTTCATCAGACCAGCGTCTGTTGGGGGGAAGCGACATGTTGGGTAAAACCTCTGCTGGGGATGCAACTGACACAGGATTACCTTCTGCTGAGGCGAACAAGCTGGACTATCACCATTCCTTGCAAGAGGCAGATGACGACGACAGTTGGGGAAATGGGAAACCAGATTCCAACTGGTTGATGACGGCGTATTATCACATCTTCCCACGTGAGCCAAAGTTTCTTCAGGGTCCAGAATTTGAAAGGTCCATCATCACAGAGATGTGGGTTGTGTTCTGGAGAGAGTTGATGAACACATGGAGGCATCCATCTTTATTGGCGCTGCACTTGGCTGTGGCCTTGGTACTCGGTATGCTCGTTGGTGCAGTCTTCTACCATGTCCAGAATACATTTCCAGGAGTACAGAACCGTGCGGGAGCCTTCTACTTCTCTGTTACCCTGTTTGCATTTACAAGGTACCACCATTCTTTACATTTGCCAGCATTATGGGTTTTGGGTTCAGGGTTGGGGTTGTCTTCAGTTGGGTTTTAATATGTTACATTTGCCAGCATTATGGGTTTTGGGTTCAGGGTTGGGGTTGTCTTCAGTTGGGCTTTAATATGCTTTGGATTCATGTTTGGGGGAAAGGGGAAGTGGCCAGGGCAGTGGGAAGGATGAGAGGGAGGACTGTTGCAGAGGGGAAAAGGTAAACGAGAGGGGGTGGAAGGGAAAGGCGGAAGGAGGAGGGAGGGGGGATGGAGAGGGAGATGGGGAGGAAGGAAGCAGGACCAGGAGAGAAGGGGAAAGGTGGTGAGATGCTCTAGAATCATTGACTCGTTTAGGAAGCGGGTCATACCTGCTGTGTCGCTTGATAATGATGATGGAAATGGTAATCTTTCCTACAATCTATTATTCATTCATTCAAAAGCATGGTTGTGAGGTGGTCATCACTGTCCTGAAAGTGACTAGCAACAGCAACAGCCCTCTCTCTGAAGGTCTGTAGAGCCATGTACACTTGCTACTTGGCCTGTATGGGCATCCAAATTTGTGAGGCCAGACAGGTCCACACAGGACTTGGGTCAGGTGGTAGCCCTTAAGGCCCAGGGTAGAAACTTTGTGAAGCAGGTTTGCTTGTTTACTGTAGGATCTCTGGTTTGCTCCGGTACATTGTGCGGGGCTCTGTAACAGAGCATGCCATGTTTGTTACTTGCATGACACAGTACACAGGCCCTGCATGACACAGCACATAGGCCCCACATAAGGTCAATTCCTGAACCATCCCATGAGAGCCCAACGCGGATGGCTCTAGGGCAAATAGTGCGGTGGAACATTCAGTTCGCATTGTGCTGTGCTGAGAACGAGGAGATGAGACAGAGGAGAAGATGTTTTCGTAAGTAGTTGAAGCGTGCCTCGAATCGCGACATTGGAAGATGATTTGAGACCAAGAAGTGGAAAGAGGAGGAGAAGAAAGCAGGGAGCTGACAGCGAAAGGGGCGCAGGAGGGGGAAGCGATAGATATGATCTGAACATGCAGGAGGCAATCTGTACACAGGAGGCCATCTGTACTGTCTGGTGTCCAAGTACTGGATGATTGGAGGTTTGCTTGGAAGAGAGTAGTGTCTGAATTGCAAAATCTGAATCTGCATGGTCTACCTTAAAACTACCACAACATGCCCCAGGCAAATCGAGCAGCTGTAAAAAGTTGCGGATGAACAGTGTCATCGGAACAAAATGGCCGGTGCTGCCAGCGCAAACAAAGAAAAAAAATTCCATCTGTGGTGGTTCGTTTTCTTTTTTTTTTTTCCCATGTGCAGTCCGAATTTGCAACAGGAAAAAGAGACTCGGAGGTTTTTCCATGTGCAGTCTTAGTTTGCCACAGGAAAAAGGGACTCAACAAGTCTCTTTTTCCTGTGGCAACTCGGACTGCACATGGGAGAAAGATAAAATAAAACGAACCACCACGGATGTGGTTTTTTCATACTTGCGGCACACTTAAGCGGTGCGTCATGCGCTCACGGGTGATGTGTGCACACGTGCGCACCGCGCGCACTGAGCATGCACAGGCAGTGTGCTGGAGTGCGGCCGAGTGACCCCCATGCCCGCGCATCTGCGGATGTGCCTTTCCTTTTCTTTTTTTCTTTTTTCTTTTTTTTTGTGTTTGTGTGTGCCGTTGATACAGGCGTTTGTCTGCTGTGCCAGAACACCATTCTCCTGACACTATGGACCGAACAAAACACCTGTATCAACGGACACTACCGATTCTCGACAGAGGGCGTTTCGTTCAGCCCGATAGGCCCGTTGCTTTTCCTTCTTTTTTTTCTTATCTGTTTTTGTGTTATTTGGGGATTAGTTACAGCCTGTTTACTGACAGGGCCTCGCCCCACTGCTCTCCACATGCACAAAAGACCAAAATATGGCAGTGTATCTTTCCATGTTCTAGCGGAACATTCATTCTCATTTTGCACATTTGGAGAGTGGTGGAGCCAGGGCCATACAACGGTAGCCTGGGGCCTCACTCCACCACTCTCCAAATGTGCCAAATGAGAACGAATCTTCCGCTAGAACATGGAAAGATACATCGCCATATTTTTTGTCTTTTCTGCATTAGTGGAGCAAGGCTCTTGCATCGCACCGGACTACACACTGGACTTGAAGCTTACTTGCAGCCCTCATCGCACCGGACTACACACTGGACTTGAAGCTTACTTGCACTCCGCGCGCACCGAAGCGCACCGCACTGGAAAGTTAGGTCGAAAAAAAAAAAAAAAAAGGTAGGGTTTTTTAAATTTCTTAGGGCCCGCAGCTCGGCGAAAATGATAAACTCACGTGAGTTCAGAAACCGGCCGTGCCCCCGGCCCAAAGTTTTTTTTGGGCAAGGCCTGCCGAATTTCGATTTCCGCAGGCCCTTCCCCCAAAAGTTTCAAAATGGTGAATCATCAAAATAGGGCTCATTCCAACTTTCTATTTAGGCGGGGTGTAGAAATTGGTTTTCAGCCTCCCTTCTGCAAATCCCACACAGTGGTGGGAAAACTTCGCAAGAAGGGGGTAGCGACCTGCCCCTCAGAGCCTTGCAGAAGTCACAAGATGTGTTTTGGAAGGCCAGCCAACCACCAATATATGCTGAAGAGCGGCATTCAGGTCTGCATGTCGCCAGTTATGGGTTAGGAACTTAGGTTGAAGATGCCTGTAACTCTCTCGTTTTTTTTGTTTTCTTATGATTACGTACAGTGGGGCCTGCTCCACTACTCACCACATGCACAAAAGACATAGCATATGGCGGTGTATGGTTCCATGTGTTAGCAGAAGATTCATTCTACTAATGTGATATACATATTTAATGAATTTTTATTATTATTATTTTTTAATTTATATACATTTGGTGAGTGGTGGAGGGAGGCCCTGAGAATCACGTGGAGACACGAACAGGGTCTAGCTGAATTGGTGACCCATAACTGCCGAGCTACATCCCTGAACTATAACCCACGGCATATATTGGTGGTGCAATGACTTGCTGGTTCCAGGTTGCCTGTAGCCTCTCTCTGACGAGGCCGTACCATAGGTAGAGACAGATTCGTAATTTTGTTTGGCTGAGGGCTAACCGAGAGACCTACCTGTGAGGAAAATTCGTGAGGGACATATTTGTAAATATAGGAAATATGGGCCCAGTACTAACTCGAATTTCCTACAGCTACCCTAACTGTGAATAGCAGACCCGCGCTACCCCTAGGACAGACAGGCCCAATGGGCCTACGCTGATAGACGGTCCTATAGCCTATAGCCGGGTAGGGACAGGCCCTAATAGCAGACCCGCGCTACCCCTAGGACAGACAGGCCCAATGGGCCTACGCTGATAGACGGTCCTATAGCCTATAGCCGGGTAGGGACAGGCCCTACGGGCCGAAACAGAAACGGTACTGGTCGGTAAGTCAGTCCGGTCTAGGTTGAGTCTAGGCTAGGGTAGAGTATAGATAGGTTGAGAGAATTGGTCCGGGGCTTTTGGCAGTTGACACTTCGTGGTGGACATCAGGTTGTGTCGACTGATACATGACCAGACCTTCGGAGCGCTGACCAGACTGGGGTCAACGCTGTCCGCTCTGACTCTCTGGGAGTCAAAGCAGTCTGGGCTATCAGGGGTCTGATGCGTTGGAGCACGTGGTGCACTGCTGACCCTCCTCGAGAGTAGGGTCCCAGTGGCGATGCAGCCATAGCTGCATCTTCTCAGAGAGTATCATCGTCTGGACTTCATTTTCATCAGAGACTGTTGGCGCGGGCTTCTTCTTCATCATCTGAGTGGCGATTGGCTCTGGGAGCCTGTTTCATCTTGGCGCAGGCCACTGAGTCGGATGTCAGGGTGGCGCTGGATGTGACCTGGGTTTCTGGTGCTATTTTTAGCTGCTCAGTGTGTGTGGGGTTGAGGCGCTACCCGTCTGAGGGAAGCGCAACAGGGTTCTGAGGTTATTCAGAGAAAACGATGCTCTGAGTTAATAAACGGTTGTAATAGTGTGTTCGAGTTGTCATCTCTTCATTGATTTCTGGCTGTGATCTCTCGGTTGTCTTCTATGAATGATTGTTGGGACTTCTGTGGAGAGAATCCACTGTGTTGTGTATTCTGTCACTTCGCTCTTCTGAGTCTTCCGCTGCGTTCCTTTTGTTGGGCGGTGTGACACTCCACTACCTCTCCCCTTCCTTCTGTGCATGTATGGGCATGTACAGGGGATCCTGTGAGTGAGCGTTGACAAAATTTCAACGGACAATCATGTTCATAACAGCGGTCTGCTCCCATCTCTTCCACATATGTCGTGGCCATCCTTCTCGTTGAAGCAGTGGTCCTCAATGACTCCACATGTATTGTAGGAGCCATTCGAGGTACCTGCAGGGGCCCTCGAAATGACATGAAGGGGACCCTTTGGTATCTCTCTCTTTCTCTCTCTGGGGCCTTTTTTTTTCCCCCGCACAGGACGCACCTCCCTCAGCATGCGCACTGTGCACGGTGTACAGTGCGCGCGCTGTCATTCCAGCACACAGCGTACTGCACACCGGCCTCCACCGCACTGCGCACTGGTGCGCTGCAACTATGCTGACAACCTTGAGCCGATGGTCGACCTGGAATTCCCAACCAAATCGATAAATGCGAATGTTAAACCACCACTACCTTTCAGAATGGAACGCTAGAAGTAAATGCAACCTATACCGCATTCTTCAGAGGCTGGGTGCTACTGAACCAAAATGGCAGGCAGCGCCAGCCAAAAGTAAAGAAAAAAGTTGCACTGGCACTTGGACGAAGCTTGGCGCGCACTTCTACTCTGCGTCGACAAGAAGAGGCTCGGAGGTAATGGTGGTTTAACGTGTTTTTTCCTGGACTTTCAACTTTGTTTTAGTCGTTCACAAGACCCTGGCACTCCGTGAGCCCCTAAAAAGATCGCCTGTGCAGAATGCCACTGGGGAGTTAATGAAGGCCATCACGAGAGGAAAGAAG